TCGTCATCATCATCACCATCGTCATCATCATCATCATCACCATAGTCATCATCATCACCATCGTCATCATCATCATCATCATCATTGTCCCGGTAAATAATCACGTGACCAACTAACTAACTTTCACCACGTCCCTAAACAGCGTTACGATTTTGCAATTCATTTTGGCCGAGCATTCGGCATAGAAACACTTCATCTGCTTCTTGACGACGTTGACGTGCTGCTGCTGCAGCTGCTGCAACTGCTGCAGCGATATTGTCGTCGTCGTCGTTGTGGTGGTGGCCGTCGGCGATGATGATAATGATGGTGCCGGCGCTGGTAGCGATGTCGCGACCACCTGCGACTGCGATGACGACGACGATGACGACAGCTGCTGGCGAATCTACGGTTACGATTGTTGTCGTTGTTATGTTTTTAATAATAATAATAAAATAATAACAATAATAATAAATGATAATAATAATAATAATAATAATAATAATAATAATAATAATAATAAATGGTAATAATAATAATAATAATAAATGAGAATGATAACGATGTGTCAATGTTGAATAGGACGCTAAAAACAGAAAAAAGAGCCTAAATTGTAACGGGAGTGACGTCAAACAATTTTTGAGACCTAAAAACAACAACAAAAACAACAACCACAACAACAATAACAATAATAACAACAACAACAACAACAATAATAATAATAACAATAATAATAATAACAATAAAAATAACAACAATAAATGAAAACAAATTGTTGGGATAAATTTAAGCTAAATGCACTGTCATTGGACGGAAAGATGGATGTTGTTGTTGTTGCTGTTGTTGTTGTTGTTGTTGTTGTTTATGAGGTCAATGTTGTTGTTTCTGTTATTGTTGATGTTGTTGTCGTTTTGCTCATAATAATAGCGTCTTTTTTATTGCAATTAACGATCACATTAACACCACCAACATCAACTAAAAAATCAACAACTACAACAACAACATCAACTATTACAACATCGGCAACAAAATCACCAGCATCAACTAAAAAATCAACAACTAAAACAAAAACATCAACAATTACAACATCGGCAACAAAATCAACAACAACATCAACAACTACAACAACAACAACATCGGCAACAAAATCACCAGCATCAACTAAAAAATCAACAACTACAACAAAAACATCAACAATTACAACATCGGCAACAAAATCAACAACAACATCAACAACTACAACAACAACAACATCAACTACAACACCAGCAAACGCATCAACAACATCAACAACAACATCAACAACAACATCAATGATATCAAAAACATGTTGCATAATGCAAATTTAACCTCAACTTAACTACTAACAAGACTGAACGCGATTACAACGTTTACGTTGCGAATTCTCATACTAATATGCTTCCACTCTACTACTACTACTACTCCAGCTACTACTACTACTACTCCAGCTACTACTACTACTACTACTACTACTTCTACTACTACTTCTACTACTACTACTACTACTACTACTACTACTACAACTACTACTACTACTACTGCTACTACTATTGCTGCTGCTGCTCTGTTTCTACTACAACTACTACTACTACTGCTACTACTTAATACTACTACTACTACTACTTCTGCTGCTTTGTTCCTATTACTACTACTATTACTGCTGTTACTACTACTACTACTAATACTACTACTACTATTACTACTGCTGCTGCTACTACTACTGCTACTGCAGAAGCGACTAAGTAAAGAAAGTTAACAATGAATCCTTGTTAGCTGGATTAAATCACCCAACAGAACATAACATGCATAAAATGGATTTCTAATTAAGTGAGGTTTATGTTGTTGTTGTTGATGTTGTTGTTGTTGTTGATGATGTTGTTGTTGTTGTTGATGATGTTGTTGTTGTTGATGATGTTGTTGTTTTTGTTGTTGTTGTTGATGATGTTGCTGTCGTTGTTGTTGTTGATGTTGTTGTTGTTGTTGTTTTGTTTACGTTATTTTTGTTCACTTCTGACTCACCCCATTGTTGACCAATCCCAATCCACTTCCGTTTGTTATGCAACAGTCGCCGTTAAAGCTGCAGCCATTAATGTTGTTGTTATTATTATTATTATTATTATTACTGTTGTTGTTGATATTATTATCAGGATGATGACGAAAATGATAATGGTGATGGTGATAAAAATAGTGATGCGTCGAATAAGGCATTATTAGTAGATCGATTTTGTTGCCGACGACAAATATCGGCACATCCCTACTTCCGGAATGCCGACATATTTGTTCGTGCATCCCTCGGACGAACCGGAAGCTGTCCTCGTCGGTGACGTCATAGATTAATAAGTAAGCCGAAGCATTTCGTATGCTGCAAAAATATTTCGGGTATGATGACGACGACGACGACGATGATGACGATGATGGCTGTGATAATGATGGAGACGACGATGATGATAGTATTAAAGATGGCGGCACATACGACGATGATGATGATGATGATGGTAGGAATGATAATGACGTCATTGAGAGCGTGGGCGCGTTTTTAAATTCGTTCCACTCCTGCAGTGATGTGGCGGGAAATTTGATGACATTAGTGCAGTCGATGATGGTGACGTCATAAATGCGCTCGGTGGTTACCAGGGTAACGCGATGTTGTTGTTGATATTGTTGCTGTCTTTGTTGCTGTCGTTGTTGTTGTTGCGGAGCGTGATGATGATGATGTTGCTGGTTGGGTTGTTGTTTTAGGCGGGTACGTTTGTGACGATATAGATGCTGTTGTTGTTGTTGTTGCTGCTGTTGTTGCTGCTGGTTGTAGTAGTAGTTGTAGTTAATGTTGTTGTGATGTTGTGTGCG